GAAACTTAAGCAATTCTTTTTTTACTTTTTAACTACAATCGTTCATCAAAAAGACTGAAAGCACATATCTTGGTCTTTCTACAATTGTTGCCAAATAAAATATATGAATCGAAAAGATGTAAACGGATTTCCGAACCAACGTATTATAGGAATAATAACGCTATTTCTTATTGTTAGTAACAGAGATTCAAGTGCAATGTATCTTTTTTCATCTTAGAATCTCTACGAACGCAAGAATTTCAACGATATGATGGTTGGTATAATAATCTTGCAAATCGCGATTGGGGAAGCGCAGGTGAGAGTTTCTTACTTTTACTGAGAAATTCAAGTAGAGTGTAGGTGCTTTTTACATGAAAACACTTAATCAGTCGAAAGAACCGGCTTTCAGAAAAAAACATTCAATCAAAAAAAAAATGAAAATAGGCTAGAAAATATATTTTTTAGGCAGTCGCCTCCATCGAGATTCCCCGTCAAACTATGAAGATGGTGTGTATATGATGAATTTATCACTGCCCTCAGCTCGAGTACTTTCTGATCTCGTTTTCAAAGGTTTGTTTTTTTGCTCTTCACATTCAACAAGTTTGGATAAGTACATTTACGGTAGTCTGTAAATAAATTTTTTTCCACTAGGGTTTTTGGTCTTTCATCTTATAGTGGGAAGATAAAACAAAACTAGAGGATGCAGAAGTTTACCTCGACCATTCTGAAAGTCAAAGTTAGGGCTAAATAAGCAGTTAATGGCAAGAAAATTGGCTAGTTGCCAATGCTTGGAGCTTTTGTAAAAACCTATTTTTACATATTCACGTATTAATGTTGCATTTTTCGATTTTGAAACAGCCAGGAATGCATCTTAGTTGCAAATCAAAAAATTTGGCGTAGTCTTCAGTATTGATATAACAACGTTTTTGTTTTCTTTTCCAGGAAAAGCTGGCTTACCAAATGCACGAAATCTTACCACAATGTTCGCTTTCTTCAGTAAGTTTCTACCTTGTCGGAACTACCGTAATCATTTTTTCGTGGGAATCCAAGTTGGACTCAAATCTGGCTTTCAGGTCAAGTTGTTGCCTATGAAATTATGTCTTCGACTGCTACCAGCTGTCCACTAGAAGTGATGAAAATACCGGTTCCGCCTGGAGATCCAGTAAGTTGGAATTTGAAAATTTCAAAGCTACTGGT